TGATTAATTGATAAATTATCTATTGTTTTTTCTTCGTGCCAGACTAATGTGCATTCTATCTGAGCTGTTTCATTATTGTTAGGTGACTTTAGTTCTAGAATAAAATTATCTTTTCATTTCAAAGGGATCAACTTACATAATAGCCTGCAGTTCCTCTGCAAATGAAACCATAAATTTTGTTACTTCCTTGAACTAAGACCCCTTTTTTTTTTCCACATCCAATAGTACAATAATTATATATAATATAAATTATAATATATAACAATAGAAGTGTGGAGCCCGTAATACGTTACATTTTAAGGACTATTTGTAATTATAAAATGATTGATGATTTGTTGTATAAAATTAATTGTTTAATTAAATAAGTACGGCACTGGATGGGGAAGTGGTAATATAATGATATATATATATATATATCGATTATAAATAGATTGCCTGAAATTTTATCCATCCTAAGAAAATAAAAAAAATTAAAGGGTATATTTTATTCCTGGATATCACAATGGTGTTTTTTTTTCTTGATTAGCAGGACCCTTTACTATTTATTTATTTTATTTTTATGCCAGGGAAACCAAGGTTTATGATCCAATATCCAAGGTTTAAGATCCAAAAATTAATTTTATTAATAAAAAGAGTACGAAACATCCAATATTGCTCCTTACTCCTGCATTGGGTGATGTTATCTTCTTTTGACAAATCATCTACTCCTGTTTTATGTATTTTTGATTCTCTGGGTTGACTCATTAAGCTATTTGTTGACGGAAAGTCAGTCGAATAAAAAACAGCATTGCCATCTATGATTTAAAATTAAAAGAAAAAAAATGGGAAGACTTAAGAACTGATTCGCGAATTAAAATCGCTGTAATATATCACTATAATTCGCTCTGATTATCACACAATACTTTCCTCCCCCATATTCTAATATTTGTGCGGGTTAGGTTATTGTTTTTGTTTACTTCTAAAGTGAAAATCCCAAGACCTTAATGTTTGGAAATATGATTAATGATGGCGGTGATGGAGTATAGACCGGATCTCGGAGTCCGTAACGATACTCCCATCACTGTTACAGTTAGCCTGATTAGTTCCGCCTCCGTGATTATTTCACAGAAAGATCTAAATTCAAGAGAATCGATGACCTGAGTCATCAAACCATTTTAGAAAGTAAAAAGTAGTACAGAAGAGGTTGAAGAAAAGCATCACCTAGAGTATATTGCTTAGGGGTTTTGAACCAATTGGGTCATTTAAGCCCTGCACTGTATTTAAAAAATATATAAATATTAATAACTTGCACTACCGGCCTTAGAATGGGGCAACTGATGCAACCGTCGGGGCGCAGATCATCAAGGCCGCTCATCACTTATTAGAATTTTTAAAAAATATACAGAACGTTTTAAAATAATTAATTTTAGCCTCTTAGTAAAACTACACTATTAGATAAATGTTGTATGAAATAAATTCAAATACTGCATAGTATAAAGCAGCTTGAGAAATAATTTTTTTTAGAAAGAAGGAGACAATATCATTGCCCAAAGTCGCCGAATGTCTAAGGCCGACTTTGATAACTTATATAGCGAAGCTTACACGATCATTCATGAATGAAAGTCACAAGGATGACAAAGATTGCTCGGAATCGCTTTTATGATGAAGACCCCTACACGTTTAATCATTACTGACCGTTTTAGCTCAGTTGACATTGAGTTGACAGCCAACATAGATTTGCTGGATTGTCCACTTATAATAATGTGTTTAATTTAAAAAGCTTATTTGGACATTGTCCTTTATAGTATTGTACATCAAGAGGAAAATGGTGATATAATAATTACTTCCTAGTGCCTAAAAATCGTTTAGACCAAAGATAGAAAAATATAAGTCAACTACTTAAAAAATTTAGGAAAAGTATAACGAAGATAATCAATTAGTTAAGTAAAATGGAAAAATTAAAGACAAATAAACACAACAGTTAAATTTTTTTTTCTAATAGTAAATTGTGAAGTTTCTACTTTTTTTTTTAGATAAAATATTTAAAAATGGTTTATAAAAATACAAACTAGGCATATAAAAAACTATTTACTTTTATGAAATTATTTACTTAAAAATCAGGAATGTACAATGGTTGTGAGGCCTACGTAAACTAACCTATCTAGTAGTAAGGTTAGCCTCATAGAAAGTCGGTTTGATAAAGGTTAGTAAAATATATGTCTGCTACTTACAAAAATTAAGAAAAAGGTATTGTGAAAATAATAAATTTGTTGAGAAAAATGGGAAAAGAACTGACAAATATACACAAAAGTTAAAGAATAATTTTTTTCTTGAAGTAAATTGTGATGTTTCCACTTTTTTTTTTTTAATTTGTTGCCCACTTGACTATTTAAAAAAATAGTTGAAGGTGGTTTATGAAATATAAACAAGGGGTATGAAAAACTATTTAACTATTTACTTTGAATGAAAATCAGGAATTTATAATGGTTGTGAGGCCTAGGTAAACTAACCTATCTAGTAGTATTGTTAGTCTATCCACTACTTTTACCTCATTCCTCCCCACTTCTCGTTAATGAACCTTTGGTTTCAGGAAATCCGCCAGACACGTCCATCAGTACTTCATTCACTATCTTACACGATCATTCGGAACGCCATTAGTGCCTAGGAATGCAATTCCGAATGACCGTGTAGGGTCCCCTTATATTCCAGAGCTCTCACATTAGACAGCCGTTCTCCCCTAAGTATTCAACAAAAAATGGTGAAGTTTCATACTTTACCACGATTTTTGGAGTAAAAATTTACTTAATAAGTGATGAGCTTGCCCTACTTGAAAATATTCAGTTTTAATAGTTAAACAATAAGGCACAGCTATCACTGAACGTCCAATATTCTATCCATTCCCTTGGTTTGTATATTTGTTTGGTTCATAAGAGCTTTGATTTGTAATTTTCTCTATTCCCAAGAGGATAAAAGTATATTTAGGGTTTTTTTTAGTTTTTTTTTTTATTTACTAAGAATATCAAAACGCTTCTTTTTACAATTATTTCAAGTGTCCAGCGGATGATTTCCTACATTTAGTTTTTAGATAGATATTTGTTCATCGAAGACTATTATAAATAGCAATATTTTAATTTTTAAAACTTAAACATGCGATAGTACTTAAGATGCTTTCGGAGATCGGAGAGACACTGTTTATCTCGAAAACGGTAAATTTAATGGTTTTTTATTCTTCACAATAATTTAGGCCATTTTCCACCAACATTTTATTATTACGCATTAATATGACGTTTCGGCCATACTAAGGGTCACCATACTGAAGTCCAGTCCCTCCAGAAATGACATGGGCGAAGTCTCTATATAATATGACAAGTTAATGTTCACTTAACATATTAAATACAATATTAATGATGAACATATTAGAAGGACTCATAAAGTTTTGAAAATTACCCTTAGTATGGTCGAAACGTCAAATTAATGCGTAATAATAAAATGTTGGTGAAAAATGGCCTAAATCATTGTGAAGAATAAAAAACTTCAAGACACCAAAAGTGGGAAAAATGAACAGAATAAATTTAATGGCTTTTAAAACACATTTTATTCCGCCTCGATTGGTTGACTTTTCAAACCATCTGATTTTTGAAACCTCCAATTTTTTTCAACGATTTGTTGGTTGTAGTTGGAATTTAAGATTCTAAATTGGGATTTTTCAATTCCCTAAGAAATTTACTTTAGTTTGATATCTCATCAAAATCCATCGAGATCACCATAATATCACTATTGAAGTAATGTTTTCTTCTTATAATATCATCATTTGTTAATTAATAGCAATTACCGATATTTTTTAAGCCCCATTTTTTTATCCCAAAAGAAATAACACATAAAAAATTTAAAAAACTTTTATTTGATTACATCATCATATTTATTTTGTAATGTTTCGGCCTTTTTGGCCGGCTATTTTTAAACATATCAGTTTTACCTATTTTTACTACCTGTTTAAAAATTATTTGTAAAAACTTTTTCAGTTGTCAGTCAGGAATTTATTTTTGGCAGCTATCTTTATTTATCTTTCTAAAAACAGGAAAAAGCTTTTTTTACTTTATACGTTTTTCACAATTAAATAACATTAGACTAATAAAAATAATATTCATTTACTATGAATTTTCATGTATTTTGCATTTCATGCATTTTCATGTATATGTTTTTGAAGTGAAAACTTCTTTAGGCGCGTTTGGCACTTTTTTTTTTTGTGGAAAGTGGATTAAATTGAGCCGTCAGATCTCCGGTGTGTAACGCTCGGGTAAAGTCGGCTGGAGTTGACTAATTGAAGAGTTTTTGCTTATGTTTTGAAATATATCAGAAACAAAAAAAATCAGACTTGCATAATGTAAGCGAGAGAAATGTTCAGCATTTCATCCTTTCTGTAATAAGCTATGATTCAAAATTGCATCTTAACGCGACGCCGTGTTAGAGCGGCGAAAGGGAAAAAAATGTGTCGTAAACCAAATAACGAATTCTATAGGACATATGGATTACAATATATCAGAAAATAAAAATCGGACCTGCATACTGTAAGCGAACTGAGTGTTCAGCATTTCATTCTCTTTATAATGAGCTATTATTTATAATTTGTACTTCATATTATTAATTTCTCGTTGTTAATGTTTTCACTTCTATCGTGTGGTCTAAAACACACACTTTTTTTTATATTGTATTAGTTTACAATTTAATATATTCAAGAAATAGTTCCTGGAGTCAATAGAATATTTAATAAACAATATATTCCTGGCGTCGTGGGATCCTATTCTTGAGAATCTGATTAATTAAGAAAACCTTTATTTAAAATGGCACGATCAGTTGCTATCATATCAGAGAATTTTTATTTTATGGTCAAACATTGCACAGGTAATATTGTTGGAGTGCTAATAATACAAATGTGTAATATACTTAAGCCTTTATATTCTAACGAATGTTGGAAATCTGAAGGATAAATTACAAAATCAACAATAAAACATAAATGATTGGGATTATTAATTATTTATTTAATCATTCCTTAAAAATATTCTAATTTGGCCACTAAAATATACATGTTTTATACATTGGGATAGGTAAGTGATAATTAATACTAAATAATATTAACATGTTTCTTATAATAATTGTATAAATAAATAAAGATTAACAAGGAACAACAACAGATTTCTCTAAAAATCTGGCTAATTGTACTCATTAGGTAATACTGTACATTCAAATTTTATTGGTTCGTCACCAAAAATTTTATATATTCATAAATACATTTAATAATATTAAATACATAGGTTATTAAATCATAAGCGACAGTTTGGGTTCATTAAACTTTGTATTGTGTTATCTTCGGTGTTATTCAATTTAAATTAAATATGTAAAATTTGTAATGTTATTTTAATTCTTTTATTTAATTGAAGTCTGCCCAACTTAACATTTCAACGATTTTTAGAATAAATATTCAAAAACATATTGAATTGTGTTATTCCAATGGAAAAACAAAACAAGATTGTCTTTATTGTAAGGACTGGAACCGCGGAGAGTCAAAGAGCGCAGTTATTATTTTTTCAGCTTAAATAAAACATATTTTTGTCTACTTTTTGGTTGTTTTGATCTTAAATTATTCACTGATACGAGTTAATATTATATGACGAATTTTATTTCCAAAGAAAACTACCTTAAATACCCGGAATAAAGTAAGTGCATAATAATTTATTTGTTTTATTATGGGTATATGCTAAGTATAAATGCCACCTTAGGGTTTGTATTAACACGGATGAAAACCACTGCTGTATTAATTTCTACGAGAATCCTACATTAAATAGTTCGGAATACAATAGAATAGCGACGCTACACTAAATAATAGGTGGTTCAATCACTAGTTTAGTCTTATAGTTAAAATAGTGCAAGAGCTATAAGGAGTCTGGCTATCTTTAGTACACGTCGGCTAGAGCTAGAGCTACGTAATGCTGTGTATAATGTGTTTAGTTCTGTACATAGGACAGTTGGTGAGGCTACTTGCAGACGGTGATCCACTCGTCTACGGTGCAGTTGCTGCAGGTAACGTAGCAGCACCAGTGGAACTTGCAGTTACACCTGTCGACTAAACGCCGCCTGATGATGTTGTACCCTCGCCCGCAGCACAAGGATGCACACCCGTCCACTCCCCGCCCTCCCTTCTTGCAGATCCTCCCCGTGGTCCCTCCTGCTTCCAGTCCTGCTACTGGCTCACAGAAGCTTGGGGACTTCTCATAGTACAAGAGGCTGCCTCGAAGATCCCGTGGACGTTTCCGTCGCTTTTTCTTCTTCTTCCTTCTTTTCCTGACAGCCAAACCTCCACCTCCTTTGTTAGATTCCTCCACCATAATTGCCTCTCTGAACCGCTCCTTCAACGCAACTCCTATCGTCCGAAGGTCGGGTGCGGATCTCCAGCATGTTCGAAGCTCACAGCTGCCTGATACACCATGACATTTACATTTCACCTCCATTTTTTTAGCTACTGCCTGAAACAAATAATTTTAACTTATAATTTTTATCCATATAAGTTGAAGTATTTGTTTATGATGCATAAATCCTTTTTTTTCAAAATGAATTAGTGAGATATGGATTGTTTTTACATGAGACAAGCTAAGACAAGTATAATCAAATCAGTTAATGTTTAGTAATTATCAATATATTCAATAAAGAATGTTTGCTTTTTCATAAAAATATTCATTTAATCGTTATTTTAATTATCTTAGTTTTTATTTTTTATTTTAGACGTATATATAATTTTTATATAATTTGCTATTCTATAATATGGGTGCAGTTAAACTTAATATTTGTCGAAAATTAATCAATGTATAGAAATATTGGAATTTTTTCTACTTATGATAATAAAAAAAAATCAAATTATTTGTATGATTAAAGTAACTTGGCAATTTTTCTGGGTTCTCATTATTCATCAATTTTTTTTTTACTAATTTTTTTTAATTTAGTCAAATTTTATTTTTCATTGAATTATTTTTGATTAGGAGTCATCTTCAAATTAAAAAAGGAAAAGTTAATCTGATTTTAAAATGAATACTTAATTCCATGTTATGAAATTACTTATTCTTAAAACCAGGTCTGTCTCAAATTTTCATTGTTTTCTAGAGCAGTAAAACGTGTTTTTCTTTCCTTATTTAATTATTACCCATCCTTATTTAGTTTGATATATAGAAAAAAAAAATCATTATTCCTTTATAAAAGTTCGCCACTTAAATTGCTATTGACATTAGAGTTATTTTCATACATTATATATTTTGATAATAAATACTGCTACTTTTTAAATTGGAAATATAGTATAATATATTTAATTGGTACTATTAAATAAATCACTATATTTATTTGTTCACTAGTAGGCCAAAAATTCGCACAGCATATTGTTATCAAATTCCAAATTAATAAGAAAATAAAAGAATGCAACCTATCAAAAGATAAAGAAATCAAATGTTACTTTATCGATAAATATAATCGACAAAGAAAACAAAAATTAATTTAAATCTTCATTTTTGTTTGGAACCAACATGTATACAAATTTCAGTAAGCTGTCTGTATCTATGCTAAAAATTGTTCGATTTCGATGATTTTTTTTTTCCTTTTGTAGGAAATTTAGTAATCTTTTATATAATCATGGCATAACCAAGAGAAAAGTGTGTACTTTTTTAGTTATTCGCAAATCAAGTTTGTTTTCTTTCATAACTTACATGTCTGAATTTTCGATGTGATTGGACTATTTGGCCCGACTGAAATCACGGGCGGATCTAAAGGGGAGGGGAGGGTGTCTTTCGGGCTGAAGCCCCCCACAAAATGGTAATGTATAATTATATTTTATTGAAAAAAAAATTAAAAAATACTTCTTAAAGTAGTGTTCGTGTAATTGCATTCAAAAGAACTTAAGGAATCACTTAAGCACCCTGTCATATAGGTAGTTTGTTTCTTTCTGTTTTTCCAAAGTAATTATTTTTATGAAAAAAAAAAGGTTTCGAGCTGAAGCCCCTCCCCCTCAAAAATAAAATCCTGGATCCGCTAGTGCCTGAAGGAGAAGGAAGCCTTCGAAATTGGTGGCTCAATCTTGAGATTTGGTGAAAAATTAACGATGATATGGCTTGCCGATAAAAAAAACCATCGATAAATAATATAAACTCGCTCTCTCTCGATCATAGAAATCTCAAGTCAACGAAATGAGACATGTATTCAATGACAGTACTACAATTAATGTAAGGTTGTGTGGATGCGAACCCTATGCCTTGCGTTATCTCGAAAATAGTACGTTTTGGGGCTTAAAACGCAGGATCCGATAGTTCCAAAGGAACTATCTGGGTCTTGCTGTGCGCATAAAAATCTTCAAGATCCAATTGGTCCCGTATCGATCTACTGACCTACCACCGTTCCAGAATCGAAGCCTAGCAAAATGTTTGTATCGACGTTATTTATTTTAGAAAGAATAACAAAAGTTGAGAATACGATTCGCTAACCCCCCGTGAAATTCTGAATCCAACGGTACCCCATTCATGGTATTTGAGCATGGCAGGAGCTTATATTTGTTACAAAACCGATTTCGAGCCTTACTGTAATAATATATGTGGGGATTACTTATTAGATATATAAGTGGCACATATGCTAGGGAAATTAAGTAAACGATATTAATTTTTATATGGTACTCTCAATCATGGATTGATTGTTAGTTCACGAAACCATTCAGGTGCACAAACAGGCCTGTAGAGAAGTAACCTCTTCACAAGCGATCTTGTGGGGAGGAGGATGGTTGCAAGAGGAGAAGACGTTACTTAACTTAGATAGTAAGGAGGCTCCACAACAGGAATCTTAAAAAAAATATATATTATTATGTTATGTAACATAAATATATTATTTTCTTGGTGCAGAATAATAAACATAATGATAATTTTTATTGAAAAAAATTGAAATTTTAAATTTTAGGTGCTTAAGAATATATCGGTCGCGGGTACCACTTATTAAGAGAGCCGTAAAACAGCCGATTTAACAAAAACAAAATTAATGATAACTGTATTGCAAAGAAATAACATAAATAATAACTTTTTTTTTAATAATACGTTCAGGGGTGCTCCTCTCCTCTCTACCCCTCTCCCCATGGCGCAAGAACCTACCCCTCTCCCTAACAGAGCAAGCGAAGGTAGACTTAAAAAATCGTCGATCTTATACAATTAAACTTGCTGCGTTCTGTTCCATGTTTTCCCCTTTTTCCTTACATTCAACTATTCATTCCGAAAATTCATAACACCATCAAAATGTGCCCCTCTCAAAAATTCAAAAAGTCGCCAAAATCTCCAAAATGTTGACGTTGGAAGATGAAAATCAAATCTCCTTCTGGGCAAACGTTATTGTTAAAAATAAAACTATCGTTTATTAGTTACTTATTTATTAATTTTTGATCCTCGAAAATACATTTCCCGCTTACTGAAAGGGCTCAACATCTTATGTTTAGGGTGACTCAGAAGATATCCGTCCCTAGCCCAAATAGTCTACTGGTATATGTCACTGGTTACTTAAAGGTCCTAACAGTTAAAGGATATTTGATGGTCAAGCCTGAAGCTGATAACCACATTACCTCTTTTATAACCACCGTTACTTTCCAAATAAAATTGTTCTTATAAAATTTTAAAAATCAATTAGTAAAAATTAAATTTAAGAATAACCATCGAACATCTTTAATAACCACTAAACATTAACCCTACAAACTTTACAACCTTTGATAACCATGGATAGCCCTAATATTTTACATTACCAGCAGATGTTGAGAATTTCATTGGATTACATTTATTATACATTAAATCGAATCATTAGATTACGAAATATGATATACAATGTTGTTGTTTTTTTAAATCAAATCTTTTCCCTTACGAAATCGAATAGAAAACATATGATTCGAGGATGTGGCGTGTTATACTAAGCAGCCATTGGGCGAGGACGTATATAAAAACTTGGTATCGGAGCTAGGCAAACAAATAAACAAAAATGCTAGAAGTGCTATGAGAGGATGTTTGTTTGCTCTCAGTCTACCCATAAGACCATCTACTTTGAACCCTTGATTTTTTTCTCTTGTTAGTGTTCTGGGCTTGGGAAGAACTCCATCAATAAAATAATTTAAATCATTGAATGGAAATATTTATATGAAAGACTAGAATGGAAATATAATTTGAATTTGAAGAAAATAGTTCTTTTAGTATTTGATTTCGAGCAATCCCTTAAACTTCATATTTTCCTATTCTCCTCGGAAGAACAACATTCTGGACTATCTATCAACAATCAAGCATACTATTTATTTAACATCTGCCATAAAAAGTTAATTAAATTGATTATTTCTATGCTTACCTAATTCACTATAATATATTTATCCTATTGCCCTATGATAATTGCTAGTTTGGTGATTGTTATTTGAAAATTTCTGTTATACTTTTTTTTTTTTAATTTTTAAGTTAAAGTAAAAACCATATGTAATATATATATATATATATATATATATATATATATATATATATATATATATATATATATAATGATTTGAGGTCTTCTTAGGGACGTATATTGCTATTGCTTGCGGGAGAAGGTCACCTAAGCTCACATTACTGAGAACCAAGGTCTTCATGGTGCAGCATCGTTCGACCCGTAGCCGATAGGAGGATAGCTCCATAGCCAATCCCTTTGAGACTAATCTGTCAAAGTTCTCCCCACCGACTCACTAGGGTTCAAGGACAGTGACATATCGGTCTACATCCATGGATTGTGCCTGCTCAGAGCCAACAGGCACACGAGGACCTATATTTCTTTTATTGAAACAGACCGTTAAAGGAACAATTCTCTGAGGAGGGCTATTGGCATCCTGGAAAGCCAGCTCACATTCCTCGATTATTCTACTACTAGGGTTAAGTTATAATTCTTATGCCCGATCGGTGTCAGTTCCTCTTTTGTAAGTCAAATATAATATATAGATAACGTAGAAATGGACATTTTTAATAAATATTGGTCAGTTAAAGATGCTCTGCAGTGTACCCACTCTAAGTAAGGACAGGGAGATCCAGAGAAATGTGGCGTTGATTAGTAGAATGGTATATTGATTGAGTATGTAGCATGAAGAAATACGTATTCAATTTATAAGAGCGAAATGGAACGCACTTTTAGATGCCATATGCTTCATTAGGAGTCAACGGAAATGATAATCATGATGATGTTCATAAGCAATAATTCTTTCATGTCATGCCTGTTTGAGGGGGAAAGAAATGTATTTAATTTGAAAATTTAAAAATATCATCTCATTCACTGGTTGTCATTCTCATTATGTCAGGTGTGAATAAAACATAAATAAAGTTTAAAATAAATGTTTTGCATTAGTTAAAATGTGATAGTTGGCATGATAACGAAATAAAAGAATTGTAATTTCAATAATTCAATAATTGCTGTGAAACTTTCAGTAACTTACGATCCGTGGTAACTTACGGCCCAA